GGACAGCCAGATCTAAGCGACTATCCCACCTATAATGATTATGTCAAAGCTTACACGCAATGGGCACAAGGGCAGACTTTTGCAGGTACCGAGCAGGACGCATCAGCTGAAAATCCACTCGCAAATGATCCCTATGCACAGCCAAACGAAAATCCACAACGACTTAAGCTTATGCGCAGACATCAACGTCTAAGGTTTTAGAAATTATCAACAATACTTAATAGTCTACCGCAATATTGGACCTAGTGTAATTTCTTTAATAAACATTTTTCTCTTTTTCAAATTTATAAATTCGAACGTTGATAGAAACAACAACCTTGATGAAAGTGGAGGTAAAAAATTTGGCGGGTGACGTTTCACCCTTAAATTCATTTCCAAGGATCTATATGACAAATCATTTGAGACGTGTTTCGCACTTTTTACCAAACCAAAGCTTCCTCGAAGAAAAATGCGGAATAATGATTTTTTGGGCTAAGCTTTAAGTCTTAAGTCCGATTTGCATCAAACTTTTTTTCAAAGCTCTACATAAGAACTTAATAAATATGTGTTTCAGGGATTTGGAAAAGTTCGCCCTCAACAGTGGTTGGTATATTGGCGGAGAGCGGTTGTATGAAAGGTTTTTGTTTACCGTCCGATCGATTTAAAACTCATTTTCAAAGATCTTTGAGAGATTTTTTATACCCTGAACCCATTAAAAATGAGTATAAGGGTATATTGTATTTATGCAAATTCCAAATGTATGTAACAGGCAGAAGGAAGCAGCTCCGACCCCATAAAGTATATGTATTCTTGATCAGCATCAATAGCCGAGTCGATCTAGCCATGCCCGTCTGTCTGTCCGTCCGTCCGTCCGTATGTATGAACGCAAGGATCGCAGAACCTAAAAGAGCTAGAGACTTGAAATTTTAGATGTAGATGCTCCTAGTTCCCGCGCAGATCGAGTTTGTTTCCGATAATCGATAACTTACTCCGTTTCCAAGCAATCGATATCGATATCCTGTTTTTTGGGCAATTTTGGTAAATAATAAGAGCTAGAGTCACCAAACTTGACATATAGCTTCTAAAATAGAATATATATATGCATTTGATGTTGGAAGAAGAGAAGGGCTTGGGTATGCAAAGTAAGTATATTGATTTAGATAAAGCTACCTATTTATATGGCTTGAATAAATCCAGTGGAGAGAGCTCGATTGGGACAGTACTTCGTTTAGCATAATTTAATGATAATCACTTGAGATACTCCAAAAAAGGTGGACTTGGCAAGCGAAACGTTTTTTGGGCAACAACTTTTTTTTAATGAATGCCATATGATAGTAGGGATCCGTACGCATTCAAAAAGGTATAACATTTTAAAATGAGATTATATTAGCCCGAGATTTTCAAAAAAATCGTCAAACAAGTTGAGATATTCGAACCTACCCCGATTTTGGAAAAAACGTGATGTAACCCCTTGCTTTTTGGTCGATTTGGGTCAAAATTTAGATTTTTATTTTTCTGATTCCAATCGATAGAACTGATCCTTACAAATCAAAAATAGTATAAAATTCCAAAATCTGAGATTATTTGGCCGAGATAGTCTAAAAAAATGATCAAAAAGGTTGATTTTACAAACGAAATGTTTTTTGGTCAACAACTCATTTCAACCCATCAATTTTTAATTTGTTTGAATGCCGTATGATATGATAGTAGGGATTCGTACGAATTCAAAAAGGTATAACATTTCAAAAACAGGATATATTTACCCGAGAGTTCAAAAAAAAATCGTCAAAAAAGTTTGTTTTTTTTTAACTTATATATGTTTATTGTATTGAATCAAAAAATAGCATACATTTTTATTACAAAACCGTTAACTTAGGTGGTATTTCGCCAATCCTGGTTGGCTCCTCAGGCTTTATCGTGGATAAACGTCAAAGCCGTCATCTTTTAGTAAGGCTGCACCGTCACGTAGGTAGTAGGTGGGCTCTGGGGCTTCTCCTGTGTCGTGGTTGGAGGAGAAAGGATCTTTTCTTGAGCCTTCTGACTACACACCTCTCAGCGAGGTCTCTTGTATGGGTTGGCGAATGCTTCGACTCTGAGATTACTTGGCCGAGATAGTCTAAAAAAATAAACAAAAAAGGTTGATTATACCAACGAAACGTTTTTTGGTCAACAACTTTTTCCAACCCATCATACCCCGGGTAATAGCTCTCGGGTAATAGCTCCACGCGGAGATATGACGTTCCAAAACGACATAGCTCCGCGCGCAGATATGACGTTCCAAAACGACATAACTCCGCGCGAAGATATGACGTTCCAAAACGACATAACTCCAGGCGGGAGATATGACGTTCCAAAACGACATAACTTCAAGCGGGAGATATGACGTTCCAAAACGACATAACTCCGCGCCGAGATATTCGAACCTACCCCGATTTTGGAAAAAAACGTGATGTAACCCCTTGCTTTTTGGTCGATTTGGGTCAAAATTTAGATTTTTATTTTTCTGATGCCAATCGATAGAACTGATCCTTACAAATCAAAAATAGTATAAAATTCCAAAATCTGAGATTATTTGGCCGAGATAGTCTAAAAAAATGATCAAAAAGGTTGATTTTACAAACGAAATGTTTTTTGGTCAACAACTCATTTCAACCCATCAATTTTAAATTTGTTTGAATGCCGTATGATATGATAGTAGGGATTCGTACGAATTCAAAAAGGTATAACATTTCAAAAACAGGATATATTTACCCGAGAGTTCAAAAAAAAATCGTCAAAAAAGTTTGTTTTTTTTTAACTTATATATGTTTATTGTATTGAATCAAAAAATAGCATACATTTTTATTACAAAACCGTTAACTTAGGTGGTATCTCGCCAATCCTGGTTGGCTCCTCAAGCTTTATCGTGGACAAACGTCAAAGCCCTCATCTTTGAGTAAGGCAGCACCGTCACGTAGGTAGTAGGTGGGCTGTGGGGCTTCTCCTGTGTCGTGGTTGGAGGAGGTCTCTAAAGGATCTTTTCTTGAGTCTTCTGACACCTCTCAGCGAGGTCTCTTGTATGGGTTGGCGAATGCTTCGACTCTGAGATTACTTGGCCGAGATAGTCTAAAAAAAGAACAAAAAAGGTTGATTATACCAACGAAACGTTTTTTGATCAACAACTTTTTCCAACCCATCATACCCCGGGTAATAGCTCTCGGGTAATAGCTCCGCGCGGAGATATGACGTTCCAAAACGACATAACTCCGCGCGGAGATGTGACTTTCCAAAAAGACATAACTCCGCGCGGAGATGTGAATTTCCAAAACGACATAACTCCGTGCGGAGATGTGACGTTCCAAAACGACATAACTCCGCGCGGAGATATGACGTTCCAAATCGACATAACTCCGCGCGGAGATATGCCCTTTCGTCGGTGCGAAAATCGAAACTTTTTCGATGATTTTTTTTTAATATCTCGGGTAAATAATGTCTGATTTTAAAATGTTATACCTTTTTGAATGCGTACGGATCCTTACCATCAATTGGCATTCAAACAAATTAATCATCGATGGGTTGAAAAATGTTGTTGACAAAAAACTGATTCTTTAGTAAATTCAACCTTTTTGATGCTTGTTTGGAAGATTTCCATCAAATAATGTCCGATTTTGCAATTTCATACCATTTTTGAATCGTAAGGATCAGTTCTATCGATTGGCATCAAAAAAGGAAATCCAAAATTTTGACCCGAATCGACAAAATGGCAAGGGGTTACATCACGCTTTTTTTCAAAATAGAGGTCGGGGCGAAAATCGAAACTTTTTCGATGATTATGCCCTGAACCCATCAAAAATGGGTATAGGGTATATTATATTTGTGCAAAATCCAAATGTATGTAACAGGCAGAAGGAAGCTTCTCCGACCCCATAAAGTATATGTATTCTTGATCAGCATCAATAGCGGAGTCGATCTAGCCATGTCCGTCTGTCTGTCCGTCCGTCCGTCCGTACGTATGTATGAACGTAAGGATCTCAGAAGCTACAAGAGCTAGAGACTTGAAATTTTAGATGTAGGTCCTCCTAGTGCCTGAGCAGATCGTGTTTGCTACCGATAATTGATAACTTACTCCGTTTCCCAGCAATCGATAAAAATCGATATCGATACTATGTTTTTTGGGCAATTTTGGTAAATAATAAGAGCTAGAGTAGAATATATATATGCATTTGATGTTGGAAGGGTATCAGGTCAGGGTATCCCCTAGTCGGGAGCTCTCGACTAGAGCTACTTACTTGTTTTAAAATGTGCCAAGGGCAAGGCCGGGGTATACCCGCTATTATAGACATGGTTAGAAATTTCCCATTCCCATCACTTGGACAAAACTCAACCGATTTTCATAAGGTTTGTCTTTATGTTCATGTTTTGGCCTCTAGATCAATTTGGCATCCGAGTCTGGCAATGTTGTTCTTAGTCAAATGCATGTAAAATATATCAAAATTTTCCACCGCCATAGCGCGGTGGAATTTCATCCGATTTTCAGGAAGTTTGGCTAACTCTTTTGAACGCCAATCGACAGTACTGATCTTTACGAGTCCAAAATGGTAGAAGCTTCCAGAATCGGAACAGATTTGGCCGACACATTGCAAAATCGGACCGAATCGTATTTTGACATATTAATAAGCCACCTTGATTGTTAATTTAATTATTTGCTATTCGATAGTAGGGTTCCGTACCATGGCAATTTCGGGGTATACCCGCAAGTTTTATTATACACATCCGAATTATATATATTTTGTTGAAGCAAAATAAATCGCAAGAATATGTCGCTTTGAAGCGACATACCTCCTCCTTTGTAGGAACAATATATTTTAGGGCGGAGACATGACCGTATTAGATATGCTTATAGCTGTGATTAATTGCATTGGTTAAGTAAGAACAAGGGAACGAAAAACGAATATTTGTTCAAATTTGTCCGTATAATATTAAAGCGTATTAAATTGTTTAAATCGCATAAAACTCGGTACATTTTCTCTTTTAGTTTCAGTAGAAGTTCAGACACTAAATAAAGAACATCGTCATGAAAATTAAAAATGTTGGTATTTTGCTATTTATATTAACTGTGGGCAAGTCCGTGGCAGTCGTTTTGGTTAGCATTAAAACATGCATATATGTAAATATATTAAACAAAATTAATGTACTTATAGGACGGACCTTGTTCTGGCAACCTGGAGAGCCGATGTAACGAATTTTGTCTCCAAGCATTAAGGCCATTGAGAGATAATGAAGCCAAAATTGAAAATCTTTTGAAGGTTTGTAAAAGCACGAACCTGCAAGGAAACACCAAAAACAGACTAGACAAAATTGAGAATCAGTTGAAACTCCTTGAACTAAATAGCTCTGCCACAAATTTGGAAAATCGAGAAAATTATCTACTAAGTCAATCGTTCCAGAAAATTGGAAGCAAATTTTATTACATTGAAAAGAGGGAGAAACTTAATTGGTTTGGAGCTCTGAACAAATGTACTCGGTTTAACGGGCATCTCGCTAGTTTTCAAAATAAACGCGAGTTCACAGACTTATTGCCCCACTTAAACAAAAACATTTGGTATTGGCTCGACATAAATGATCTTGGCGTTACCGGGACACAAATTTCGATGACGTCGGGTCGTACACCGGCCTACGTGTTTTGGAGTTATGGTGAACCAAACAATAGTGAAAATAAGGAGCATTGTACTCATTTATGGACATATTATACAGGTAATTGGGAAATGAATGACATAGAGTGTACCCAGTTTCATCGTTTTATCTGTGAAGCTTCATAGCTTATAAATGATGTCTAATAATATCAAATAAAATCTACTGCACATATCAATTATATTGCTTACGAATGGGCCAACTTAGTCACAACGTCAAAACGAGCGGTCTGAGCGCTCTGGGTAACTTCAAGCTTGTGGTGGGCGATCACCTTGACCATCTGCCGAAGCATCCGGGTACTCTGATCTCCAGGAACAGAGTGAGCCATCAGACAATTGTTGGTCGCAAGTACGGCCGATAATATTGTTACTAAATTTAGGCACATTAGGGAATAATATCGGATGAACTTACTTTACGATTGCCTACATTTTCAGACTGCTGACATTTAGAAACTATAAAGTCCTCATTATATCTACTATTTCTGTAAAATCGATATTAACTTTGTCTTGAGCTAATAAGTTTTCTAATCCATTTTTAGATAATCTTTTTATTGATTTAAATTTAAAGTCTCTACCAAGCTGTTGGTTATTGTTAGTTTTTCTCAGTATTTCTCAAATTTAAATATCGAATATTATGTACACGTCCTAATATTACCTCATCCTTTATCCCTAATTACCACAGTAATGCAATGGCTCAGCAAGATTAAATTAGCTCCGCTTATTATTCTATTCCTATAATAGCCCTTCCCCATCACAAACTTAATTATCTTCTCTCCAACCCAAGTACTCAGCTTCCAGTCACTTAAATCTAAATGCTTCTCTCGTCAAATATTTTTCGCAATTGTTTGTTTATCTCGGAAAATACAATAGCTTATTCTCCTATCCCATAACCAGAACAACATGTCGATAAATCGAATGGTATGCAGATTAGGAAAACAAAATTGTACCCCAGCATTTGGTTAGGAATTTTGGAATTCATATTTGACTATATTTCATGATTTTAAGAATGCAAACTAAAAGCTAATATATTATATTGAGCGTGGGGTGCAGGGGATATTGTAGTCGACCACATTTTCTTTTTACTTAACGCCTATTTGACAAATGCCACATAACAAATTTCTTCCGTTTTCGACCGTATTGAATTGATCTTAACTAACATGCGTAGATATTCGTCCAGGTAGGTATATTATCCGATATAGTTTCAGTACTAATCAATATTCAGATTGAGTAACATTATCATTTAAAATGCAAAAATATTTAATTTTGCTAATGCTTGTTTTTCCCAAGCAAGATTCCTGGGCAAACGACTTGGTGAGTACCGTAGCTACTATGATGCAGTGTAATTTGATATGATACAAGCATAATATACATGTGTATGTATATCATAGACAAAGTCGCCATGTAACCTCGATTTGGGAAATCAGTGTGGCGAACATTGCTTGAAATCCTTAAAGCCTATCGTGGCTCAAGGACTTCTCACGCGGGACAATTTGGAGATGTGTTTCAAGCAGCAAATAAATTCACCATACAGAATCGAAAAGATTATATCTCAGATTGAGATCACTGAGCAGAATATAAGAAATACCACAACTAAATGTATAAATCCATTGTTTAAACCAATCGAATCACAATATTATTATATTGAAAATACCGAGGCCCTTAATTGGTATGGAGCTGCACAAAAATGCGTTGCGCTTGGCGGCCACCTACTCAATTTGCAAAGTGCGAAGCAGTTTGATTTGCTGAAACGCCATTTGCGTTCCGATGTTGACTATTGGACAGACATCAATGATCTCAGCACAACTGACGACTGGGTTTCCCTAACCAGTGGACATCAGGCAACTCTATTGATTTGGATTGATGGGGAACCAAAAACGGTTTACAAAAGCAACCATTGCGTTTACTTACAAGGAACTAAAGAGTGGAAAATGAAGAATGACGAATGCGAGTCGAAGTGCAGGTTTATATGCCAGCATAGTGCTTGAGTTTTCAACATAACATCGATATGTTTTCAAATTATATATCCATTCAACTAAATTTGAATAATAATTAAAAACTTTAAATAAAACTTTTTACATTTTCTTATTGTGCATTTTGATAAAGAGTATACAATATATTATTTTATACCCTTATAATTTTGTCGTGAAATGTGTAACGCATAGAAGGAGACATCTCCGACCCCATAAAGTTTATATATTCTTGATCATCATCAACAGCCGAGTCGTTATAGCCATGTCCGTCTGTCCGTCTGTCTGTTTCTATACGAACTAGTCCCCCAGTTTTAAAGCTGTCTTTATGAAACTTTGCAGAAGTATCTATTTCTGTTGCACGCAGCAAGGATGTCAAAACCAGCTGGATCGGACCACTATATCATATAGCTGCCATAGGAACGATCGGTCGAAAATTAAGTTGCTTAATGAAAAACCATCTTGACCAAACTCAGCATTTATTAGTTTTACTATACTCCTCATATATATGCAGGTTGGGTATGCCAGGGTATTGGATCTTCGGCGTGTTGAAGATAGCCTTTCTTTCTCGTTTTTATTTTAATGTGGTTTTTGAACTTTTTGTTTAATGATTTTTGCGACTATTTCGTTACAATTAAGAGTTAAATATGTTTTTCAACGCTTGGTCAGTAGTATGAGAGTTAATAGAATTAAAAGTAATTACTGATTAACTTTCCAGTAATTTGAAATTCGTAAAAATTTTATTTTCCCTTGCGTATGCCATATATTTAACAGAGCACAAGAGCACAAATACCGTACTCTATAAGATACCTCCAGTATTCACACTAGACAGAATGCGATGGTTAATGTATGCTGATGTGGCTTTGAAGTTATTAAGTTATCACCTTCCTATAGATACCTAATTTATGTTAAAATATTATGTATATGTGATTACAAACTTTGTCCAGTTAAGCTCTCCAGGGTTATTGACCCGAACTCTTGGCCGATTTTTTTTAGCATAAATGGGGGCGCCCAGCCAGGTCATTTCTATTTGTGAACCGTAAAGCAAGGTAAATACTTTCACCCACCGCATCGAATGAAAAACTTTAATGCAAGCACCTAAAGTATTAAGCCGAAAAACCAGTAGCAGCATTAGCGAATTGAAAAATTCAATTTAAAAATCTAAAATTTAAATGCCATAGCTTTTGGCCCGCAGCGTTGAAAGTATAATTGAACCTAATCAATCCGATGCGAGGCGCCGACTTTCGTTGAGAGAATAACAAACAAACGGGTAAAGCAATGCTTTAATGGAAACCCCCATGATATTTGCCAGCAAATATTAATTGTGTGTGTTGCCTGAAATAAGTTTGAGCCCATGGGGCCACAGCGTGGCCGAGCTGAGAGCCGATGACCAAATTGAAGATCACCCAAACAAATTGGTTCAGCTTATAATTAGAAGTGACCTCCCGATGGCTGCTATTAGCAAATTGCTGTCGATTTTCCCTTTTACTTTTGTTTGGCGTTTATCAACACCGCACCAGATACCGGAGCAAACAAAGAAGTCCATAGTTAATTAGTAACACACATGAAAATACAAAAAGAATAATAATGGGACAGCAGCAGCGACGTAGGTGAGCATTTCGTTTTGGATCTTCTAATTTCTACTTCGCCTTCTTCTTCTTGGCACTATTCGCAAGAGTCTCGCAAGCCACCAAGTATGCGGCGTCGGGTGAAACTTTTACTCTGGCCAAGACTAAAATCTAATCGCCATCTTCTGGCAAAGTTCAGTTGAGTTCCGTGCTTATACGAGTGCTGTCGCATCTTGGCCAGGGTCATTTGCCGTTTTGGAGTGCTTTTCAGGCTGCCAAATGCAATTTTCGATTGTGCTCGCAGTTTGCGCACTGGGCGCGATCCGCGCCGAGGGGCGGGTGCGCGGCAAGCAATATGACGAGGAAAAGGATACCATTGTGGAGTTGCCCAAATTGGGCTCTATACAGGGTAAAATAGTGGAGACCGCTTGGACCAAGCGCGAAGTGTTGCAGTTTGTCGATGTTAGATACGCCGAGCCGCCAACTGGACAACATCGTTTCAAGGTATGTGGCTCAAGAGGCTCAGCTTAGCTGAAAAATTTAGAGAGTTAATGAGAGCAACAGGCAAAAAGAGACATGGTGTATACCACTTCATCAGCTTCGATCAGCAGCCAAGTCCAACCGTCTCTTTTTCAAGACTTTATGACCTAAATTCAGATGACATTTTGCATACATGCATATTTTAAACTGTCGTCATTGTGATTAACACAGAAGATATTTAAAAAGATTTTTTCCCAAGTGTACCTATATCAGACTTGATTGAAGTGTATCTGCTAATCGAGCAATATGGACATGTACATTTGAAATTTCTCTGCTGTCCATAAATTAGATTTGGCGTACGTTAATATTTTGTTGAGTCAGCTTTTTCCTTCTGTCAGCCAACCGGTTGTTTTTGATAACTTTTACTACCCGCGAACATTTCACCTCTTGCTAAATTAACCATTTATAACCACACAGCAATCAAGAATAGGTTCGCCGAGTTCATAAATATTTATGTGGGCTAAGACCTAATCAAAGCTAATATACTCGTAATACCTACGAGAGGCGCGAATCGTTAAGTTTGCCGGCAGCGACGAAAGCTCGCTTGATTAGGAAGGCAATCAATTTCGTAAACCAATTTTTGCAAAGATTATTGATGTCATAAATCCATTAATCATAAAAACCGAATGGTTTTGTTCTATATCAGCCACCGCGTCCCATTGAGCCCTGGGAAGATGTGATGGATGCGACGGCGGAGAAGATCGGCTGTCCGTCTGTAGTTTCGATGGATGCATTGCAAAAGCTGGACGACGTGCTGGACGTTGAGGACTGCCTGACGATGAGCATTACCACGCCGAATGTGACTGGGAGACTGCCCGTACTAGTCTACATACACGGGGAGTACCTCTATGAGGGCAGCAACTCGGAAGCGCCGCCCGACTATCTGCTGGAAAAGGATCTGGTGTTAGTGACGCCGCAGTATCGCCTGGGACCATTTGGTTTTTTATCGACCAAAACCGATGAGATACCCGGCAATGCCGGCTTTCTCGATATATTCTTGGCCCTGCAATTCGTTAAGCACTTCATTAAGTATTTTGGGGGCGATGCAAGTCGCATTACGGTGGCCGGGCAGGTGGGTGGCGCAGCCATAGCGCATCTGCTCACACTCTCCCCGATGGTGCAGCGTGGCCTGTTCAGTCAAGTGATTTATCACTCCGGCTCAGCCATCATGCCCATCTTCCTGGAGGACAATCCGCGGAAGCATGCGCAGGAAATTGCCGAAAAAGCCGACTGCCAGATGGTAACCGTGCGAGATCTCAATAAATGCCTAATGGAGCTTAGTGCTTTGGAGCTGCTGAATGCATTCATGGACCATGCGGTAAGTGGAACTAAGAGTTCCTCTCAGACTTTGCCAGCTCACAGTGTTATTTTGTTAGCTTGAGAAATCAGATCTGGGCATTGGTCACACTGGGGGCATACAATTCACAATCGGTGGACCCAGCGGCGTGCTACCCAAGCATCCCTATGATCTCATGCTGGATTCCAACTTTTCCTATCCTGCAATGGGCGGATGTCCCAAGAACGCAGGTACACGCGTGCTGAATGAGATTGTGGAGAACGACTTTGAGGGAAAGATACCAGATGATGAATACAATACCTACAACTATATCGATCACGTTATACGCCAGGTCGTGGGCACCGACAAGACCATGCTGCTAACCAGCTTTGTCACCCATGACTTCTTTAATCGCCACCTGCTGGAGAACGGCACTTTCGACACCCTAATACCCCGGCTAATTGATGTGAGTAAGACTTTCACATATGAAAAAACGCGTATTCCAAATATGATATGTCTTTCAGGTGGCGGGCACTTTAAACCACAAGCTGCCGGTGCTGCTGGCTCTTAACATGAACAACAAACACAATCCGGACAACACGTTCCTTTACTCCTTTGAATATGCGGGCGAGTTCAATCGATACCGCGATATGGATGAGGAGACGAACATGCAGAGTCCCTTCAAGGCGGGCGTCTCGCTCACCGATGAGGCACTTTACCTGTTCCCCTATCCCGACCATGTCAAACGCCTGAGTCCTCCCGATATGTCAATGGCACATCGCATGGTTGACCTATGGACAAACTTTGTTATTACCGGCAATCCGCTGGGCTCATATCGATCCGGCTACTGGCCACCCATGACAACGCTCTACGGTCCCTACATGAAGATCGACGAGACGCTTACTATTGGCGGCAATTACTTCAATGAGTTTTCAGCTACGCTGAGAGACGAGGAAGAGGGCCACAGTCTCATACGTGAGATCTATTATTTGCGTAACCGCGCACGCCGCAAAGACCTGGGCCAGGCACAGCGCAGGAGGCAAGCAGCAGCAACAGCTGCCACAAGCAAGCTCAAGAAAGTGGAAGTGCGGAAAAGTCTCGTAAGGCGTCCAAATCGAAACAAGATACGCTTTTAGTGTCAAGTCAACTAGAGGAATTAGTTTACTACTCACTAGTATTGCTTATAAGATATAAAACCGTTTTAAGGAATAAAAATTAACATAAAATAAATATTATATTATTATTCATTATTATATTATTCATTGGCATGAAACCAATGGAAATTGAAATTGAATAATTTAAATATAAAATGCTTCTTTCGAAGCGGGTGGACGGAATCGAATTTTCTTTACTGTAAACAAGTCTCGTTCGCATCACAGATCATTCGGATTAAGTTGGAGAACCCTTAGGCCAAAATAGTGATAATGCTTAATAAATTATATAAATCCATTGCCGCTGATTGCACATTTATTTAAAAAATATAACTCATTGCTTATTCATTAAATGACTCGCAAATAAAATAAAAGAGATCGCCGCATGTATTGTCATTCATTACAAAATTAGAGTCCTGCAAATGGACGCAATTTTCATTACCACGGGCATTATTGGGCTCATTGCGTTTCCAATTCAAAAATTTTGACCTCACGCCAGTTGTTAGCGAGCGGTAAACCTCCTTCTCGCTGAGGTTATTTACATCAATCCAATAGAATCGTTTGGCATCCAAATGGGGAATTATTGCATCCAGCTCACTCTGGCTATCTAAACTGATCAGATGGCCGCCGAACTCGCTACATCTGTGTACCGCCCCAAACCAATTGATCTTCTGTTGCTGCTCAATATAATAATATTTGGATCCGATTTTCTGAAACGGCACTTGAAAGCTGTGTTTTTGTTTGCCGATCAACTTGCTTTGCTCTAACAGTTTCTGCTTAGTTTCCTCGACTGCTTTCGAAAAGCTGGCAGAGTTTTCCTCTTGCTTCACCATCCTACCCTCAATTTTATCAAGTCTGGATTGGGTATTCGTCAGCTTGCTTATATCACATACCATCCAAAGTTTCTGCATGACGCCTACGTTTTCCAGCCATGGCTTTAAGAACTTGAAGCAGTACCCATCGCACTGGTTCTTAGATACCTCTGAAGATGTTGTTTCTTGCTGTAAGTTTGTGGTATTTACTTAATTAAAATTCTTTTTAGGTTTACTATGCTGCATACCGCATAGTTGAAGGATCCTATCGATATGAGTATTAAAATTCCCAATAAGAAATATTCCATTGTAAAACAAAGCTGAGGAACTGCAACCCGATGTCTGATTTGAAATCGAACGGACTGAGCTGTGCTTCGCTGAAAATTAATCTCGCACAGAATGTGAATTATTGAGTACATTTATAATAATTTATAAAAAACAGTGATATTGATGCAATCATTATTTATTTTGTACCCTATATATGAGTACTACATATAATTCAATATTATTCCCTTTGCGATAGTAATATAATATTTATTTCGCGATGAACACTTCCAAGAATTTATTTATTTTTATACCCTGAACCCATTGAAAATGGGTAAAAAGGGTATATTGTATTTGTGCAAAATCCAAATGTATGTAACAGGCAGAAGGAAGCATCTCCGACCCCATAAAGTATATATATTCTTGATCAGCACCAATAGCCGAGTTGATCTAGCCATGCCTGTCTGTCTGTCCGTCCGTCGGTCCGTCCGTCCGTATGTATGAACGCAAGGATCTCAGAACCTATAAGAGCTAGAGACTTGAAATTTTAGACGTAGATGCTCCTAGTTCCCGCGCAGATCGAGTTTGATAAGTTCCGATAATCGATAACTTACTCCGTTTCCAAACAATCGATAAAAATCTATATCGATTTTTGGGCAATTTTGGTAAATAATAAGAGCTAGAGTCACCAAACTTGACATATAACTTCTAAAATAGAATATATATTTGATGTTGGAATAAGAGGGTTCAGGGTATTCCCTAGTCGGGAGCTCCCGTCTAGAACCTCTTACGTGTTTCAAATGTATGCTTGACTCGAAATAGAAAACCGAACGATGCCTAGTCTGTCAGATAGTCTTATTGATGCAGTATGGGTCACGCATATGCCCAGTATATAGTATAGGGGACTTAAATGTTTTTTGTTAATAAATCAATTTTAAAACGCCTGATAACAGGGGCAATTATTTAAATCATTAAAGACAGAAGTCGACCGAGTTGGATCACTTGTCAAACTAACTTGGGGAAATCCACTTATATTCTATATAACTAGGCGAACAGATCTGGCATTATAGTTTTATATAGATAGTTTTATATTCTACAAATTATTTATTAAGTCTCAAAAGAATAAATTAATTTTGAGGTGTACCGAAGTTCATTTTCATCTTGGACCTAGTGTTGAATACGTGCCGATTTTCTGGCAATGAAAACCAAGTTCTGGCCACGCGCCTCGGTGGCTGCTGGGTCATCATTCGTTTCTTCCTGTTCCTCGTCCTCATCCTCGTCTGTATCGGATTCGGCCGGCTGTTCCTGCTTATTAATGGCGTCGCGTAGGACTGCCTCCAGTTCGTAGTAATCATCGTTGACCAGGTTATATCCCTGCTTAACCTCCTGCACCGCAATGCTGTATTCGTCCAAGTAATTGTCCCCAAATGTGACTGTACGTCCGATATGCATGTATGGTCCAGTTTCATCGTTCATGGGAGACCACGCGGGCAAGCCCTCTGCCCTGGGAACACCATCAGCTGCGAATGAGGTCCAAAGGGCCACCATGCGCTTGGCTATCTTGACATCGCTGTTGGAATTGAGCATATTGATGCGCGGCCAGGGAAATAGGTAGAGATTCTCGTCGGTCAGACTGACACCCATGTCGAAGGGCACATCGATGGCCTCATCCTCGCCGGTGGCATAACGGTTCAACTCCCCCTCATAGTCAAAGGTGTACAAATAGGTGCTATTGGCCAGCTTCTTGGCATTGGCCTGGAGGACCAAGAGCACAGGGTTCTTCAGCGCAATAGTGCTACAGAGCTAAGCAAGGCATTTAATTTTATTAAACGTATTACAGAGTATTTAATATTCAGGGCTACTCACATCAATTAGACCCGGTGTAAGGCGCTTGAAGCTGCCGTTCCGAATGTCCTCCTCACTAAAGATATACTCGTCGGCGAACTCTCGCCAAGAGCTCGTCGGATCGGCGCCATTAATCTGTTCAATGATTGTATCAATGTACCTTGCCCCTGTCATCTGAGTGTCCGATGTGCTCTCGTTGAAGCTCTCCACAAATAGATCTACGAAGAAGAGATTCGTTCTATTGTTGTTAACTGAATGAATATGAGTAATAAGGGCTATATACTATGTACGACTTAGTAGCGCCTACATATCAAGTAGGGAATGCTGCATAATAAGCAATCGCTTACCTCTCATCATGAAGGTGCCGCCGTGCTTGACACTGCCACCCAAGGTGGGATAGGCCTCGAACTTTTCGGCGGCAAGCAGTCGACCCGGATGCTCTGGCAGAATGCCAGAGGGCCCGCCGATGACCAGCTGTACGCCTCCGTATGCGCCGGCGCTAACCGAAGGCTTCCTCTCGCCATGCACACTGAAGGCAGCTAGCAGCATGGTGGCGTTCATGCGATTGAAGCACTTGTGCAGGGAGTCCGTTTTGGTCAGCTGCTTGCAACCGGCGATGCGTGCTATTTCCTTGGTCGCTGTCAAAGGCGAGTCCGTGATGAAGGCCGGCGAGAGAGCGGTGCCGGACTGATAGATGACACGATGGAACAGGTTCGCCGGCACGGCCGGGCTCAACGTGAGGACATTAATGAGAGCCGCTCCGCCTACCTGGCCGAAGAGTGTCACTCTCTGTGGATCTCCGCCAAAGGCGGCAATGTGTTCATTTATCCATTTCAGGGCCAAAATAAGATCCGTCACAGCCGCGTTGCCGGGCATTTCCTCGCTCAGAGTGGAAAGGAAGCCGAAGGGTCCAAGACGATAACGCACTGACACTAAGACCACATCGCGCTCAAGCAGATAGCCGGGTGCTGCTTCCACAGTGTCGCCGTCATAGAAGAAGTCTCCATGGACATAGACCATGACAGGAGCTTGTTTACCCTCCAACTTTGGTACATAGAACATGTTATTTAAATTTGTTACACAAATATCAGCTATAAACCTACCGATTTGGTGTTCACTGTAAGACGCAGACAGTCCTCGACGTCATAACCGTTCTCCTCCAGCTTGGCAAATTTTACCAAATCCTGAATGGAGGGGCAGCCGGCGTGATGACGATGGGCCTGCAGAATGCCCTTCCAAGGTGTCGTTGGTTCCGCCGCCTTTAAAGGATTAATATAAATTAATAAAATAAGCATAATTCTCTCATACTTTTTTCTTATCTATTTATACTATTTTAAATTACAAATTATCGTTTAGAGAAGTTACGTTATGTGGAGATTTTGTGGAATTCTACGGCCGACGTTTTGTATAACTAATATTTATGCAGATTTGAAGGATTAGAAGTATTAGCTTGAGGGAAACCGTACCTTAAAACGCTCGGCTTTGCCATACGGGATATCTAGAAACTGCATAACGTTCTGGCCAGTCCATTCGGTGACCAAAGTGCGACCGCGTATCTTGCCCAGCGCCGGCAGCGTCGTGGTAAACACCTTGGGATTTTGCTGTGGTTGATTTGGCTTTTGCTTTTGGGGTCGCTGCGCTTGCTGTTGGGGTTTTGGGCGCCTGTTCGCATTTGCCGCTGGGTTGCCTGGATTGGGCCGCTGCTGCTGTTGCTTCTTATTCTTCTGCGCCGAAACGCCGCTGATGGCAACCAGCGCTAGGAGCGCCACAAATAGCAGCAAAAAAATGCTGCGTGGATTTGCCATAATTTGACCCGTTGCCGCTACGCGTCCAAGTTCAACTGTTGGCCAGGTTGGTTAGCTACTCAAAAAGAAGACTTTCGCGTCGATTCTTTAGTCTGCGGCGTCATAATTAAGTGTCTCTTAACCGGGCACCTGGCGGCGGTTCTATTTTTGATGGGTGCTCGCACGAAATGGGGTCAAGTCGCTGTTAACGATTCGATGGCCACGAAGCTTCCTAATCTTTTCGATCAAATTCCATTTTTGCCAATTCTGATTATGAATATTTAAGAATAGTAAAACCCGTTTGCCCTAAGGGACGCACGCTAAGAGTGTCTCTCTTAAGTCAAGATTATGCTTGATTTTGAAAGTAAAACAATATCAAACTAATTCTTGACCCATTTGCAGTTACTCACTGTCACAGATAAGTAGATACGAATATGTAAATAGATACGAGTATATATAAAATAAGCCTAAATAACGACCTTAATTTGCTTTTGCTCACAGGTCAACGGAGGTCGTAGTAAATAAATATAACACAGATAAAAGTAGGAACATCGGTTGGGCTCAAAGTATTTGTACATATTTGTATTACATTCGTTAATACTTTATTAATAAGTTAAACAATCATTTTAAATAATAATTAGATATTAAAATGCATTAGTCTAGTTTCATTATATGTATGTATGATGGTTTTCACTAGCTTAAAAAACGCATAAAAAACAATTGCATAGAAATGCCCAAATAAATGGCTCTGCTTCTTATCCACAGATAACAATTCATTGGCAAGCTGATACGATTTAAATTGAGAACATTTCATGAACTATTTCTCGTTGCGGCAATGCAGAAGAATGAACACACCCGCCGCAGCCGCAGCCGCAGCAGATCAATATATATGACGAACACCTGACAGTGGGAGATTTTGTGGGTGTGTGTATGTGTGTGTTTGTGTGTGTGTGCGCGTGCGTTGGTGTGGCGCCCACACAGCTTATATGTAATATAAGCGCACAACCGATTTTGTGATGAGTGTTTCGTTGTCATAGAAACTGGTTTGAATTGTCACATTGCCATTTAAGACTTTTGCGGGCATCATTTGGGACTCGGGTGCTGCCTCGATGGTGCTCTGCCATGTGTTGGTTGTGTTGGCGCCCACGAAGCCCATCTCGAAGAACCATTCCTCCATGATGCGTCCCTTGAAGAGCACTTTTTGGTCGAGCCGAAAGTTTTCCATTGCCTCAATCGTGCTAAAATTGATCTCGCGCGATACGGCGCGCATGTCCAGAATCTTGACGGGTACCCGCGCCTCGTGCTCGACATCTGGAGCAGAAAAGTCCTTGTTCTCCTGCCAGATTACCTTGCCGGTGTCCGCATCGCGCAGTATCATGTAGTTGATCTGGAAACCCTTTTGGATTTTATCGCCTGCGCTGAGGTCGTCGGAGCCCATTATTAAGCCACTATAAGTGTCACAACCAGAGAGAGCGTTGTTTCAGTTAAATTCGCGTTGTTGCAGCTCAGATTATATTTTTGGAAAAAATCAATGTTTATTTTTAATGCTAATTATGTATATAGCAATATTTTTAATTCTAAAAATACATATATACGCGTAGCTGTGCTCAGAACCAGCTGTGTCAGCTGGAATACAATCGATGGCTGTGACAAAAATATCGATTATCCGTGTTAACAAGGCACGAGTGTTGAAGAACACTTTTGTGGCTGCCGCAACACTGGTTAAAACAGCTGTGTTCAGCTTGGGCTCTGCTATGGCTATGTTAGGGGTATGTAATGGCATTGGTTTAAACTTTTAAGTCAATTAGCATCCTGTTATTCTATTTAGTGTGTCGAATTAATTTCAAAAAAAGCTGTTACCTAAAAAGCATTTTGTCAATTTTTGTCAACTTAAAATGTTTTCTAAGCAAGTTGTTTTCTTTCAGTGTATCGCTGTTCAATGTTATTAACAGTTTAGCAAAATGTAGTTTAGTTTGTTGTCTTTCAATCAGCTGACGACTTCTCGAAAAAAAAGTAGAAATGATTATTTACGGCGTCTACATAGTAAGCAAATCCGGTGGCCTCATATTCAACCTGGACAATAACGTACCTCGAATAGAGCACGAGAAGACATTCACTTACCCGCTGGACTTGGTGCTTGACTACGACCCCAAGAAAGTTTCCGTGTCGTTTAACCGCAAAGATGGCATCAATGGTAGGCGTTGCCTTTTCTTTTGCACCCTCCGTCAAGCCTCACTATAAATTTTGGTTTGCAGTGGGACATGTGCTCGTCGCCATCAATGGCATGCCAGTCAACGGCGCCACGCTGGAGGACGGACGGGACGTGAAAACGACGCTGGAGTCGCCCGACAACTTTCCGATCAACCTGAAGTTTAGCCGGCCCAAAATGACAACGAACGAGAAAATCTTTCTCGCGAGCATGTTCTATCCACTGTTTGCCATTGCCAGTCAACTGAGCCCGGAGCCCAAGAGCTCCGGCATTGAGCTGTTGGAAGCGGACACCTTCACGTTGCATTGCTTTCAAACGCTCACCGGAGTCAAGTTCATCGTGATCTCGGAAACGGGCCTGAACGGCATGGATCTGCTGCTGCGCAAAGTCTACGAGCTGTATTCAGATTATGTGCTAAAAAATCCGTTCTATTCGCTGGAGATGCCTATACGCTGCGAGTTGTTCGACAACAAGTTGCAGGAACTTCTGTTGCAGGTGGAGAAGACAGGGATTAACAATATTGATAAATAAAAATAATAATTTGTTGAAAAAACTTTTAGGCTACAAGTATCTAGCTATCTTTAACTCTAGCTATCTTTAGCTATCTTTAACTCTGGATGCCAATTGATAATCAGTTCTTAAATTCTGAGCACTGCATTAAAGCGCTTAAGAATCCCAGTAAAAAAAAAACAAACATGTTAAATAGAATAATATTCATATTAATTGTGAATTAGCATTCTTATAGGATGTTCGCCTGGCACACATAATTCAGAAGAGTTTCACAAGCTTCATCATTCAGACCGCCTGCGGCAACTTCGGCACAGTATTCATTTCCAGATTTATTGTCCGGTAGCCCAGCCTTCCATCTATAGTAAGGCATGGCCTCTCCGGTTGCTATCGAAATAAAGTTCCCAGTTTTGGCCAAGCAGTTTGCGGATGTCCAGAAACGATTAGAGGGCACTATGGAGACTATCACGTCCATTTCAGTGCTGTTCTCAATGTTAAGCAAATGTCCGCCCCATTTGCGACAATTCTCCGCTGCCTGAAACCAGTTCACCTTCAAGTTGGACTCGATGTGGTACAGTTTATTGCCAATTTTGATTGGGAAATCCTTGCAGCTGCTAACGCATTTTCCCAATTCATTTGACTGCACCAAAACATCAGCTAGATGCAAAGATTATTTTATTATGATTGCTTGCAATTGTTAAATTGCTTAAAGATACTCACGTATTTCATTTGCCATGCTGAAATGCCATAGTTGCATAGAAAATAGCAAGAAAATTAATTTGCCGTCCATTTTGCCTGCTTTACCAGTTCTAAATGCTCTTTTGAGCAATTTTTTGTATTTATACACTTTTGTCCATTGCCCATGAAATTATCAAAAAACCAAAAAAAAAAAAAGATAAGAGCGTGCAAATTTCTCACAATAAACCTGCCAATTAATTGTTGTTTAATCAAGGTAATACATTTTACAAAACCAATGCAAGTACTGACCGAAAAAATACCTCAATAATCGTGAGTGCTCAATAAAAGCTCGAAGTTCCGGTTTTGATTGGCGAAGAATGAGGGTAAGTACCTTCTCCCCTGAAACGGAAATTAGGACTTTTGAGAGGCGCTGGGATACAAGAATTCCTTTATAATTAGGAAGATGAATGCAAACTAGTCAATCAAAAAATCAAGAAAAAATAATATTAATAAATTTATAAATTATAACAATAAATAACTTAAAAATCAAAAATATTTGGATGGATATTGACATTTTTTAAATACTGTCTTGTTCGAAGTAAGTGTCCTAATAAAATTGTTTAGCCATCATTAACCAATATTATAATTATTATTGTTATTACCATCAGGAATTAACGCCCTCTATTCCTACCTACGTGCTTTAATATATTTGTACCCTATAAGGATTTTAGAGGGGGGAAGTACAAAGCACAAAGTATATAATATCAGATACCGAAATACTATTGGAGATTTAAGGCTTAACATATATGATATTGCTCGGAGCATAATTTATAGGCCAATCTTGGCTTTAAACAATTGAGCTTGTCTTATTTTGTATTCTTTTAACAATTAAAGGTCATAGTAAAAAAAAGGTTGCCAAATATTTTAAGCATTTTGTAAAAGTCTTTTAAAAAAATATTTTTTATATAAGAAAGTCTATAAGAAGTATAAAAGTCAAGTACTTATGCTTTCAAGATAATAAAGATTATAAGTCTGCTTCCGAAACAAGGAAATGCCAACACATTGAAATGTTTATAGTATGCAATTAACAAATCGTAACTTTCGTCTGATAATGTCACAAAGCGGGCAAAATCGAAAGGTATAAATGCGTTAGCCATTGCACAGCAGTTATTAGTCGAACTAATGAAATCAAAATGGCAAGTAAGCTCGTGTTTTCACTATTTCTTTTCCAATTTTGGCACTATGCAATGCCAAATTCGACGACGGGTAAGTGTTATCTCGAGATTCTAGTTCCAAGTTTAATTTATTTCGAATTTCATTTGTAGTTAATGACTTTTCCCAACTAGATGTATCGAATCGGACGAGTAAGCGTTTTTGTTCATTATGTTACAAAATTGCCAAATAATATAATTTATTTAATATTAGCTCTAAACGTGAAACCGATTGTTAGCACCACGACTAACTTTCCCCTTCAAATTGGCAACAAGTTTTACCATGTTGAGGACAATTTAAAGACCAACTGGCATCAGGCCGCACACAATTGCCGAAAACTGGGAGGACATTTGATCAACTTTGAGACCAATGCGGAAATGGATGCTATATTAGCGGCAGTCCCCACTTCCCGTTACTGGACATCTGCAAACTGCCTGGGGAAGAACAGGGAATGGATTTCTATCTCCACTGGTATGCCAATGCCCTTCTTAAAGTGGATTAACAAGGAGCCAAACAATATGCTAGAACTTTGTGTGGAACTCAAGATAACTGCTCTCAACGACGCATTTTGTAACCTTTCATTTAATTATATATGTGAAGCCAAGGTAATATAAGAAAATAAAACTGTAAGAATAATAAAATCAATGCATTGCCTTAAGGTTGAAGACTATTAACTATTTAATTGCCTATGGGGTCTAAAAATTTCGTCCTAATGGGAATTACCGTAGAGTTCACAGACATATACACAGAAATGAAATTTAAATTTACGTTCATACTATACGTGGATTTAGATGACCCAACCTCAATACAGTGCTCATTTCGAGAATAGTTTTTGGGTCGAGGTCTTCGATTCAGGAAGATCTTTGTTGGACTTTTTACACAATAATCTCTTGGTCTTAGTTTTTCACTGGTTCCATTTAATAAGTCTTGGGTTTTAAGACTACGCAAATGTCCACCTAATTCACGGCTTACATGAATAGTACCTGTCGATTTTCTTCAATTCTAAGTCTATTATATAATTTACTACCGGTACTCTGAATATAGGTACGCTAAGTTAATTTTTAGGGCAGTTTCATCCTGTATTATAAAGGTGTGCTAATATAGCGGGTAACATTGGAGGAATAGGCCTAAAATTATCATTTTATTATACTATATCGAAAGAAAACTTTGATGTACTACTGTTTATAGAAAATATGGTTTCTGTATAGAAACCTAAAATTTTTACTGTAGTTACCTTATATGATGTATGTGCACGCTGCGATGGGGTTTTGGAACATTCCACTAACTATACAAAATTCATGGAAAACTATTTTGTCTACCATCCGATCCGCTTTGAACTCATTTTAAAGATGTCCGGAGGATCCACGGCGGTTTAAATGTTTAGGAGAGAAGTTCATTTACTTTAACTCATTTCCATAGATTTCCACAGCCAGTTAATATTAACGTTGACTTCCATAAGAATCCTTTTACACAATTTGATTTTTGATTTGTTTTAATGAATACGTATATATTTATAGTTTATATAGGTATAATTTGTTTACTGCTAAAGCAATACAAAATTCTTGTTTAAGCTACGAGTTATAACACCTACTGGCATACTTAGAAAAGGTAATGTATTTATATTCGCACTGAATATGTATGTACAAAATTTGAATATATATATATGTACACACTCATAAATGAATTACTTTCACAATGCTAAAACGCACATCATTCCATATATATATATACATATATATGTATTTATATATAGTACAGACAATCATTCTCCCGCTTATTTATTTATTCCGTGTTAGACTAAAGAAATATAATATGAGTGGTGCAGAGAATTATGAATGTGTTATAAATGTTAATAAGTATGATTACAGAATATTCTGATATATTACATATAATAGTATAGATGTTACTCGTACAGTTTATTAATAATATTGCAAAAAGTTTTTGGGACTCTCATTTCATTAATTGTTTTTTTTTTCTTTGAGCTATTACAACTGCGCCCCTTCAAATTTTCATAAGCACACTAAATGATATTGAAAACAAAATAGTTTTGTATAGATCAGAGTGTTTAAACAGATTCAGCCAAAAGTAGCTACAGATTTCGCATCATAAATACACAGATGTACCAAAGTTGTTGCATACTCTGAAGCTTACTGGTTTATATAGAATGTACAATTAAATTGGTTATTTTATAAACAGTTGCATCTTTTATTGATTACAATTATAAGTTTGCTCATCTCATTTTTGGCAGGAACACTTTGTGGTTGGTTCGTTTCTAACTAATCAAATTAACAAAACACAATACAATACAAAACATTTCGAAATATGTTACAACAAAGAATGAAACTCTACTCAGTCGTTGGCCTCTTGGCACCGGCTTGTTCTTATTATTTTTGGTTTACTTGCACTATTTTTAGTTCAGCATTACCTAATGACACATTGGAACTGAGCTTAAACTCTATCGATATAACCTATTAGCTGGCATATTTCAATAAGTGAAATGCATGTTTGTATTGTCCATGTTAATTTTCTAGTCTTTTACACCATGTTTGTTTTTCAACAATTTAAAAATTTTTTTTTTTCGTTGTTTGAAATAAAGTTTTTAAAAGGCCTTGGATTTTTTCTTTTTGATAATGGTTTATAATAATTGCCAAGCAAAATTATTTTTTAGCAGGCGGCTGGGATATGTTTCATAGCACTAAAGCTAGTAAATTATACGTGTGGTATGTGAGGGCAACTCGCAGATACTAATGCTAAGGTGAAGACATATTCGTACACTTATTATAACATAATTTGCACTAATTGAAAATTGTATTTCATTCGATTAAACATTTTATATTTGATTCCTTTTTTTTTAAATTTTGCTTAATGTAAATAAGTTATATCACAACAATAGAGACAAAGATGGGTGTGTGAATGAGAGTGTGTGTGTGCGAGTTGGGCTTGTGTGTGTCTCTTTCGAGTCTAGATCAAATAACAAAGGCAAACGTATCGGACTACAAATTGAATTAAATATATATATACGATACTTATATACAAAACGTTGGGCATAGTACAACATTTGGAGTTTAATAGCACACATACATATACATACACAAACACACACACACACACACTAAGACGCACACGTACTATACGCAAAGAGCGAGATTATTGTAGGCAAAGCCACACACAAACACATAGACGCGAACGCACGCAGCAATATTCCACTGAGATCCAATACAAGAGTGACGCCCATCGGGGGCAGGCCCGTCCAGCGCCGATCTAATACTAACTCTTGCTGAGCGCCTTCTTTTTTCTTTGTACCAGAATATCATAGAACGGATTATGGCTGATGGACTGCGTCAGGCGCTTGATCCATTCCTGTTGATCCTCCTCCGTTGCGGCAGACATTCGATACACCGTGTGCTTGCCCTCCACCACCTGCAGATAGATGAGCTAATCAGTTTCTGAGTTCGGTAAAATGCAGAAGATTTACTCACCTTGCCCTCGGAATCAGTCTTGCATGCCTTAATGATATCGGCGCCGCCGGTGGCAAACAGCTCAAAGCAATGCGGCTTGCTGCGATCCTGTATCTCGCGCACTGAAATATTCTCCAGCGGTATTATGCCGCGCGGCTCCTTATCTGTGGTATATTCGAAATAGTACAGGCAATTGTCGTTCAGTATAAACCAGCGTCGCTTCCACGATTTGTATCTGTTTGAGTAATTACATAAATTAAAGCTTTCTGCAAAATTTGAGACGATGTGTGGTATTTACCTGCCGCCCTGCTTCCAGAGCCAGCCCTCCTTGTCGGGATTGAAAAAGGTGTGCATTAGATCGTTGCCATCGTCTTGAGGTATCTTGAAGGGCTCTGTGCGTATGGACTCGTACAGCGACTCAAGCAAACCACGAGGCAAATCGCCGCCGTTGTTAATGCCACGATTCATCGAGATGAATTGCTCAACGGTGGGTTTGTCTTTGACCTACAATAAAATAAACAAAAATGAATTAACTTGCAGCAATCAGATTGCAAAATAGTAACTAATTAGGGAACAGTTTTATGTGCCGCTCGTGCTGTTGAGATCATTTTCAAGATGCCACAGGCCAATTAGTTGGCACTTAACAATTTCAGCTCGTGTGAAATGCTTTAGACTTGACCTATTTATAGCCCTATTCACAACAATTTTGTAATTGCTTTAACGCACAGTAGTTGGTGGTGGGAAATGGGGAAAATGCGGAAATGCGTCGTGTGGACCGTCGATAATTGCCGGCTGACAGGCGACAAAGTATTCAATTCCGTAGTTTGGGCCACGCGACGCGCATTTCGCGAGTTTTTTATTTCTGTTTTGGCACACACAACACACATGCAGCCCACCACCACCAACGACAACTTCCGGTCGTTCCCAAACACTTCCGGTTTGCAAACCATGACAGTGAATTGTAATTTGGTGCCAACAATAAAAAGGGAAAGAAGAAAATTCCCGTACCTTTTTTTGTGCCTCATTTTAAATACATTAAACTCGATTGAAAGCACAAAAAAGTGAAGTAATCAGAACGTGCAGACTGAAAGTTTAACGGATTAAAAGATTATTTTAATCGCGATTTTTTTTAATACGCGACATTCAACAGATTCGTGTATTATTTAAAATTAAAATTAAAGAGAAAGTTTTGAAAAGTTATGTAAATTTACACAAAGTAAATATTTGGAAGCATTATTTCGTTGAGATTATTTATAAAAATACTGATAAGTTTCAAATATTAATACAAATTATATCGTTTTGTAAAGCATTGAAAAAGATACAAAAACATATATGCAGAGTATTGAGAAAGAATATAAGAAAGCTAAAGTGCTTAAAATATTTTCAAATGTATTTAATCATAATGAATATTGTGATGTGAATGCATATTTCCAAATTTAAGTGTGACTGCGCTTACAAAGCTACAAAATACTGAATTATTTGTAAGTGATTGGTAATCGATATATTTGAGCATGATTGACTGACTGATTGATAACTGACATCGTTGATATTAATACTGAATGCAATGTGTACACATGCACATAACTTACCGATGGATTGTGCAGTGATGTATTGAGCATTATAATGGCAAAGCTAAGCACATAGCAGGTATCCGTGTTGGTAAATATATCCGGATTCAGTTGACAGTAGCGCTGCGCGAATGTCTCCATCATGCGGTCAATCTTTTGGGCCTCGCCGGGCAAGCGAAATGACCACAGGAATTGCCTAAATAAATGGAAAATGTTGTTTAATCATGACTTTAATATTAGATGAGGGCTTGTTTGAAGCTAACCTTAGAGCTTGCACCAGTATCAGATTGGTGAAATCGTGCAGTGCCACAAATGCCTTTAGCACATCCTCATTGAAATCGTTTTTCTCGCCGAGGTAATCGCCTGGAAAGTCAAACAGAAATGAGCATGAAAATTTATGTTATGCATTATGGAGTTTTAATTGAATTTTATCCATGCGGGCGTCGCACTGTGGACAACAATTTATGAGCTTGCCAATTCAGCAAATGCGAGACTCACCTATTGCCGTTTTGTTCAGTCCCTCGCCCTTGTAAAGGAAATGCGCCACATCCTGCGGATCGTGACGCAACAGTCGGTTCTCTACGAGATACTCAATACCTGCAA